CTCTCTCCTATCCTACCTTTGCCCAGTATGCAATTGTCTGATTAATTACTACTCTCCGCAGACTATAGTATTTGCTTACAGGGGAGGGTGTCCCTTGGCAGCCAAGCTTCTAACAGGTGCTTTTGCAAATAACCCCTGGGCTTCCTGGATTAGCCAGTTGCACATTGCCTCTCCGCCTGGCAACAGGCACAGAAAGGGGAGCTGCTAGGGGGAAAATCCTACAAGTCTACTGGGAAAGAAAGTAAGAGCTAAGAAAAGAGGACCCTGACATCCCTTGGCTTGCTCCTGAAGCCAGCATTGGATCGTTTGCCTTCTTTCCATCAGGGAAAACAGCAGAACTGGAGAAGTGAAAGAGGATACATAGCCGGAACTTCTAAGCAAGGTATGTGGAAACAAACAAAGTAAGAATGGGGAATGCACACTGGAGTGAACAGAAGCAGCAAGGGGTCTTAGAGTCTGCACTAAAAACTTTGGTAGCTCATGATTACAGTGGGAGGGTAACAGACCCCATTAAAACAGCTGGGATCTGCTGTTTTCATGATGGGAAAAAACTTCAAAGAATGGAGTGATCAGTATGATCCGAATAGGTGGAGTAGATAGCCTGGGTTCTTTGAAATGAGAGATTAGTTAGCTACATACCCAAAGAGTAGAACGAAGATGAGTGTACACCAGTGGTTCTTAACCTGTGGGCTGCAGACAACCAGTAGGCCGCAAGGTCGAAAATTTGGTCCACGAACCTCCTTCCTCTTTATTTATTTTATTTTTGAGTGCATGCAAACACTCTCTTAGCTTTATCACATATTTAAAAATGATACATAGTGTATTATTTACGCTTTTCAGTGGCCAACATGTATTTGTATGCTGAAATAACTTGAGTTTCACTTTTCAGCCAATTCCACTTTCTGACATCATTAATCCCTGACCCATCATAATAAGTAGAAGCTCCCTTTATGTCAGTGGTTCTTAACCTGCCGGCTGCGGACCACCAGTGGGCCTTCCTCTTTATTTATTTTATTTATTTCATTTTATTTTATTTATTTTATTTCTGCACCTTTTGCACCGCCTGCCACTCCTTCCCTGTCGCTGACCATGGCATATGTTCTGTATCAGAAACTACAGGCGATGTGACCTATCCAATGCAATTTTCTGAATCAGCACCCCAAACCAAATCTAAAGTTAACCAAAAACTGATTCGTAATGCTTCTGGTATTAATATTGGAGAGTGATCCCTGGTCAAAATTGTCTCTGGGCAAGTAGTTCCTGGTCAAGTGATCCATGGTCAAAGTGGTTCCTGGTCAAGGGGGTCTCCAGTCAAGTAGTCCCTGGTCAAGTGGTCCCTGGTCAACATGGTCTCCAGTCAAGTAGTCATTGGTCAAAGTGGTCCTTGGTCAAAGTGGTTGCTGGTCAAAGTGGTTCTTGGTCAAGTGGGCCCTGGTCAAAAAAAAAAAGGTTGGGAACCACTGGTGTATACCAAGGAAGTAGAAGTGGTATGTAAAAGAAAGAGAAGACTTGTTAATATGTGTGTAAAGGAGAAAACCTGTGGCAGTGACCTAGGTAACCATGAAAGGCACTGTGATGACTGCTATTTCTATCTGAGCACCCAAAGGGATCAGTAGAATTCCCGCTTTTTCTAAAAGAAGAAATAAATTGGAAATAACTTCTGTGCCTCTAATAGACAGACAGAAATTCAAGGAAGAAGCAGGCAGATTCCTCCAGGGTGATATGTAAGGTTGCCAGAGTGAAAACCGGAAAGGTGTCCTATACTTGCAATGGTTGTTCAGAAAAAATAATTTCAGCAGATGCTGCTCATCATGCAAGGTAGCCAGCAACACCTCTCCAGTTTTCAATTTAAGAGCTCCTTGGACCCTTCCACACAGCCCTATATCCCAGGATATCAAGGCAAGAAATCCCACATTATCTGAGGGCCCTTCCACACAGCCTTATATCCCAGAATATCAAGGCAGGAAATCTCACATTATCTGAGTGGACTCAGTTCAAAAGCGGATATTGTGGGCTTTTCTGCCTTGATATTCTGGGATATAGGGTTGTGTGGAAGGGCCCTAGATGAACTTCATCCACAGTCTTGCCTGAATGGGGCTGAAAGAGGGCGGCTGGAGAGGACAGGGATGGGTTCTATCAATGAGGTGAAATTGTTAGGTAGCAAGTGATGTGTCTTAGGCCCCTTCCACACAGTTGTATAAAACCCAAACTGAACTGGATTATATGGCAGCGTGGACTCAGATAACCCAGTTCAAAGCAGATATTGTGGATTCTCTATCTTGATATTCTGGGTTATATGGCTGCGTGGAAAGGCCTTTACTGAAGCTTCGGAGACAGAAGTGGGTTTACACATAAAGATTTGGAGGCCACTGCCTCATGCCCTGCAACTTTACTAATTTGGGATTAATCCTCTGAAATACTACTTCTTTTCAACCTAAAAAAATCACTTCTTTCTTCATTTCACCCTTTGTTCCCAGCTTACTTCAATTGCTGTAAACTGAGTTCAAAGTGTAAAAGTAGATTGCAGTCAAGTACTAAAGCAGTGGGGAGAGGAGATGGGGAAGAATTTTGCTCTTCCCAATAGGCCCAGGAAAGCAAATTTCTGAAGCCTTTCCAAGCTTATGTGCTCTTCCTCATTGATAACTTTTTCCATCTTGACTACACTCTGATGTCACTTGTGTCAAGGGTTTGGGAAAAACATTTTATATGCTCTCTATATCTCATTTATTCACTTATTTAATGCCAATATATGTAAAGAAAGGGCGTAGTTTTTGGAATGACTCCATAACCTCAATCTAGCCTTGGTCCTGAAAAAGTGTGGTTAGAAGGAGAATGGGATTACTTGTAAAATAAGGGTAGGTAAAAATTAGATAGGGATTTGTTGATACATTTCTGAAAACCTTGCAACTATATTTCACTCTCTTTCTTTAACAAGGAAACAAGGAAAATGGAGGCAAGGGAGCCTGTTCACACTACACAATTAAGGTGCTATTAATCCACTTTAAGTGCCAAAGTTCCACCCTACAGAGTTCTGGGATATGTAGTTTGGTGAGGTACTATGGTTCTATGAAACAGAATTCTAAACATCTCTCTCTACTCTGCAAATTCCAGGGTTCCACGGGATGTTGCCATGGCAGTTAGAATGGAATGCAGCACTATAATTATTATTGTGTAGTGTGAATGGGCCCTAGGAGTGGGTGGTTAAATGGAAAAGCTCAGGCCAAGAGCTTAAAAATATCTCCCAGTGAGCATGTGCTAAAAATGCCCTTTACCTTTCTTTAATAATACGTGTACATCTGTCCCGACACAGCATTATGTAAACATCTACTTTTTTGAAAATCCACAGGTCAGGCCATCCCTTGATTGTTCCAATGTTGGTTTAGAAAGAAAACCTATCCTAATTCCAAATCCCTGATTAATAGTGAAATGTAAGAGTTATGATAACTGAATGTCACGTGGTTCTTTTGCACATTTAGGCTTTCCACAACCCTTCCATAAGACATACTGTTAATTCAAGACTGAGGTGGAAAGTGAAGGATGAACAAAGAAAAGTCTGGTCAAAAAGGGAGGAACTCCTATAGGAGGATAATGAGCTTTATTAGTTAATAATAATAATAATAATAATAATAATAATAATAATGCCGCATTGAGGAAAAACAACAGGAAAAACTCAGCCGCTATCAAGACCTCAAAATCGAACTGCAAAGGCTCTGACATAAACCAGTACAGGTGGTCCCAGTGGTCATTGGCGCACTGGATGCCGTACCAAAGGATCTCAGCCGGCATTTGGAAACAATAAACATCGACAAAATCACAATATGTCAACTGCAAAAGGCCACCTTACTTGAATCTGCACGCATCATTCGGAAAATACATCACACAGTCCTAGACACTAGGGAAGTGTTCGACTTGTGATTTTTTGATGCGAAATCCAGCATATAGATCTCGTTTGCTGTGACATACTATGCTTTTATGTCAGATAATAATAATAATAATAATAATAATAATAATAATAATAATCCCACTAGTCAGTGCCCACTGGTGATAGATTATATACATTTCACACATCAGAGACTCATTCTAGTTTTGCTTTAAGCTTTTGCTGCAATGGAGAGCTCTGAACTCAAAAGGCAGCACAGCACTTTGGAAGCTCTCACTTATCCTAATCTGATGTCCTTTCCACACAGCTGAATAAAATCCCACATTATCTGTTTAGAACTGGAATACCTGGCAGTGTGGACTCAGACAACCCAGTTCAAAGCAGATATGGTGGGATTTTCTGCCTTGATATTCTGGTTTATATGACTATGTGGAAGGGCTCTGAGACTCTTTATCAGAGTAATAGTATAATAATAATTAACTAATAAAACTCATTATCTTCCTACAGGACTCCCCCCCCCCCCCCCCCTTTCCCCCTGTCCTTTGCTTTTTCATCATCCTGCCCTGCTAACCCAAGTGAGTCCCTGCATCTCAAAGCCCTTCTCCTTCCTGGTTTTTGTTCAGTTTTCTAGCTGGCAACCATAAAGGTAGAGTAGTAAACAAAGAAGCTGGGTGTGTCATCTTATCAGCAATTTCCTAGGGAGGCAGCTAGCCTACCTGGCATGCTGGGGTTGGAGAACTGAACAGGAGTGGCAGTTTCTCAAGGAAGTAACAAAGTTAAGCAGTCCATATCACAATCTTGTAAACCCCTATTTTCTTAAGTCTCATTCACTTCATCACACTAGAAAAAAATCCGCTTAAAATCTGGTTTCTGCCTCCTGCAGAATTCTGGGTTTTATAGTTTAGTGAGGCTGTTAAAGGCTCATCCCTAAACTACAAACCCCAGAATTCTGCAGGAGGCAGAAACCAGATTTTAAGTGGATTTTTCCTGTAGTGTGATGAGGCATAGAGAAAAAAATCCACTTAAAATAAACCCAAGAAAGGGAGGAAATAATAATTTTCAACCGTTTCTCTTTTTCCTGTGCACTTTAGGAGCTGCGACAAGGAACAAGAGTAAATGTTTGTGCAACCAAAGGGTGCATTTCTAGTTGTGAAAGCTGGTCCTCTTTATCCAGATGCCTCCTTGCTGAAATGATCATTCCTCAAAGAAGCTTCTCTTCCAATTGATCTGGAAGGGGTTGGAGGGAGCAATCATCGAAGCGTGGATGTGTTCATTTCTGAAGTTACCTCATATTTGAACTGCAAGGCTGATTGACATGGAAAAAGACAGAGATTTCTACCAGGTGTTTAAAGCTGATTAAGAAGAGTGGACAACCTCGAAATGCTACTTGGATAAAAGTGGGAAAGATTCTAGAAGGCAGATTTCTTATCAGAAAGAAAGCTCTGCAGATTTTCATATACTAAGAACAAAAAGGCTCTACTGTCATTGGCTGAGAATTCTGGGAATTTACAACTGTGCAATGACCTGTCTTCTGTGCAACCAAAAAGCTGGCATACCATTCACATTAGTGGAGAGCTTCACATTGTTCATTCAGTGAAAGAAACTAAAATAAACTCAGAGAACTTCCCAATTGTTTCTTCACTGAACATTTGAAATATTTCATGTCTTAGCTGGTCAGGAATGCTGATAATTTAGATCTCTTGACCAATACAGCCAAAGAATACTTTTTCTCAAAATTAACAACTGGGACCAGAAAACCTTTGCTTCTTTTTGGTATATTTGTACTTGTGATGTTCATATCTTGGAATATGCCTGGCATTCAAATAACGGAAACGGAGCATCTAGATGTACTACTGGGAAGACCATTTTGGATTTCTGGATCTATTTGATATTTCTTTATATATATAAACAATTATTGGAGACTGGAAATATAGAGGTGTAGATGGACTGGCAAAATACATCAAAGAAGGAACTCCTCATGATATGTCTTTATATGGAAAAATCAAGATAATATTATGCTGCTTCCTGCACTATTTTATGGAACCAACACGAGAAATGGGAGGATTTCTGCTTCAGGGTGCTCTCTCCTAATCACTCCAGAAAACTGGATTATCTTATTTCCACAGCCGTAGATCTTTTTGTCCATGGAAATATTGAAAGAGTGCTATTTTCCATACTTTTGATTTCCTTTAGTCTCTGCCCAATAAGTGCTCAATGAAAGAAAAGTTAGGAGCTCTCCCGTTCATCCATTTCATGTGAAACTGGAGACAAGTTGGGTCTAAAAGAAGTAAGAAAACCCAAGTAAGAGATCTGTGTGATCCTCTCACTCAGACTTTGGATTTCAAATGAATTATTCCATTATTATCCCCATTGGTGTAGACGCAGACAAGCCACAGGTAGAGGAGTTGGCTTTCAAACCTAAGTTTAAAGGTGCTCCAACAAAGTTAATCGTTTGATTTAAATTAGGGGTTGAGAGGGTATTAGAGTGACAGGCAATTAGTCCACCAGCTCCAGAACTTCTATATTTCTAAAAAACCTGTATTTATTTGAGGTATTTGTTTCATAACTTGGGGGCTCTTGCTCCCTCCATATTTTAGGAGTCTGTATGCTAGCAGCAAGTGTTAAGAGACAAGGGTAACATAGTCAGATCCCTTTGGGCATAGACTTCACACATAGGATTAAATGTGATGGATTAAGGGTGACACCGGAGTGTGAAGTACGGAATGACCTATTTAAAAAGCTAAAATTTAGGATCTTAAGGGGGCTAGAGAATACAGGGCTGCCTGTAATGATTCCTGCATTCCTGTGAGGAGAGACTTCTGAAGTGTGAAGACGAGTGCCATATATTGAGATGTCTTGTCAACATTAGGCAATTCAAAAAGAGTGGGAAGGCTGTGTACTGTGTGCCATCCCTGTGCTCAGGATTACAGTGCTCCATAAGGTTGCTCCAATGTGACATAAGACACTTGGGGAAAGGATGTAAAAGGTGCTTGTGTCAATAAGGAGAAGGCTAAACTGTAGCACATCCTTCATGGTATCTTTGAACTGAACCCCTGTGGCTGTTCCCAGGCAAGCATTCTGATCTGCAGCAAATGAAGTGACTACCAACGTAACTCCATGCACTGAGCAAGTTATAGGGTGATAATTTTGCATTTTCTGATCATTCATCCACTTGCCCTTTTCCCTCTGGCCAGTTGGCATTTCCAATTGCTTCTTGGAATTAAGGTGGTAGGCTGGGAAAAGGATATAGGCTAATTTATGCAAACAGATGCCAGTGGTATTTTCCTTCTTAGGCGTTATAAGGAAGACTCTTGGGATAAAAGAAATCTACATTAATGAAAATCTTTACTTTTGAGATATAAGATCTCAGTAGGGTGCCGGCAACAGTTTCTTTTGGCTTTCCATTTCCTGGAGGAGGATAGAAGGAGCTTTGTTTACAGGGACAATATAAGATTTCATGCCTTTCCACCAAAGGCCATGGCTGGTTCACAGGTCCGTTGTCTGGAAAGCGAGGAACCATATCTGAAAATAACAGAATCGAACCCTGAATTTTATTACTGCGAGGGTCAACGGCTGGCTCTTGAAGCCTTGCTTTCTGAAGGGGAGGAGGCCTTTAAGAAGAGCCTCATCCAGGAAAAGTTACGCCCTTTTCTGTCAGATGCAGAACTCCAGGAGTTCAAAGCAGATGTGAAAGTAGAAGACTGGGAAACATCTGGACTAGTAGAACTAGGGAAATTGAACCATGGTGGTGATGAGTCCAGTTTCACTTACTGGCCAGGACGATCAGATGAGCCCACCCCAGAACTGGAACTGGGGTGGCCAAGCAACAATGTTTGGAAAGGGATAACACGAGCAGAGGTCTACACACATCCACCGGGAGAAGGAGCACCATACATCAAGGAGCTGGTCCGCAGGAGTATCCAACAGGCTGACAAGGTACTATTGAAGGAATTATCTGGGCCATCTTTCTAGCCCTCATGATGAATTTGGAGAAAAGTGTTAAACCGTTTGGACTAGTGGTGTCCAACCTGTGGCCCACCAGATGTTTGGGACTCCTAACTCTAGAAACCTTGGCCTGCTTCTCCAATGGTCAGGAATTCTGGGAGCTAAAGTCCAAAACACCTGGAGGACCAAAGGTTGGACACCACTAATGTAGACTTAATTTAGGAAATTACCTTCTTCAACATGGTGCAGGCCAGGTATGCTGAATGTCAACAGTGCAACACCCAACTCCTTCCATCTTTGCATACCCACCCTCTCTGGGATTTATGGTCACTGTAGTCCAACACAGTTAGAGGGAGTCATTCTGGGGAAAGCTCATTCCCTTGAATTGTGACTATCTTGTGTTGCACAATAGAGAGGATAACAACAGTTGTTTGGGCATAAAAAGATAGCTGCACATACAGACAGTCCCTGAGTTATGAACAAGATAGGCTCTGTGGGATTGTTCTGAAGCTGAATTTGTAAGTTCAGATAGATAATTTTTAAAGTGTAACTGTGATCATTAGGTTTTGAGAAAATTGGCTTGTTGTGGAAACATGGGTTGGCGGGAAAGCTTCAGTGGAGACACCTTTTCCCCATGATAATTCTTTCAGGAGTGAATTTCCCTTCCTAGGGCTAGATTTCTCTCACTTCTTGTTGTCTCACCTCGCTCTTAACTATGAGTCATTTGTAAGTCGGATGTTTATAACTTGGGGACTGCCTGTATAGAAATGATTCCGACTGCGTTATAAGAAAACTCTCCTTTTTCAAGGGAAATAGAATACATCTTGTCAAAACTTAAAACTTTTCTCTTCCAAGTCATCCAAACAGCCTTGAGCTGGAGGAGAAATGCTGTCTCTGGTAGTTTCATTTGACCAAGACATATTGAGGACCTGTTCAACTACAGTAACTGCCTTTTTTTTGGGGCGGGGGGGGGGGGTTGTGTGTGTTTCTCATTTGTCAAATGGAGAAAAACTGAGAACATTTCTGTCTAGATCAATTACCTAAGAAGGCAGTGAACTGGAGATTTATGATACTTCCCTAAGTATTGTACTTCCTGAAGTAACATAATGAAGTTTAGCATTTAGGACAGGGCACCGTAGCAAGCATACAGGATGTCATAAACGTGCAGCATTATCAGTACTTTCTCAAATCCAGATTTCATACTGCTGCTTTGCAGGCAACTCACCCGCCCTCTGCCCAGAGGGAGGGATGCTCAAGGATTTAGTTCTGATGGCATTTCAAAGCAAACCGCCCTGATTTTCTCCTCCCAAATTAATGTGCAGATCAAAAACTGTGATCCTTCAGATATAGCACCTCTTCAAATGTTGCAGTACAGTTCTCAGCTCAAAAAAGTATCAAAAGGAATATTAAAATACAGATTTCTAATCAAATACATTTACAGGTGACTAATTTCAAAGATAATATTTTGTGCAAAAATACTTCAAAAATACTTATCTTAATATGAATTTTCTTGCTATTTTTAAAATATGTTTTAAAAGATTAATAAAGAAATGGAATAGAGCACATCTAGGGATGTACAGATAGGAAACTGACTTGGGACTGGAAGCAGACAAATTTCTTCCTTCACTACCACACCCACATCATTTCTATGTCCGTCTTCCTACATCCCAATTTCAGTGCCATTCCTCGTACAAATTTGGCTGTCAATCAAACTGAACTTTTAAATATCAATGGGTTCAAATTATAGGGAAAGAGATTCCTCCTAAACCAGTGTTTCTCAACCTGGGGGTCAGAACCCCTGGGGAGGTCACGAGGGGGTTTCAGAGGGGTTGCCAAAAACCATCAGAAAAAACATAGGAATCCCTTTGGCAGATAAGGCTGAAGATGTCTCCACTTGTCTTTCTCTTTCTTTTTGCTGTTGGTGAACTACAACTCCTAGAATTCAAAAACAGCCCCCAGCTCCACAGTATTCAATGTTGGCCATGTCAGTAGTATGCCAAGTTTGATGTAGATCCATTGTGGGCTGGGTTCAAAGTGCTCTTTGTTTGTAGGTAAATCCCAGCAACTCCCAAATGTCAAGGTCTATTTTCCCCAAACTCCTCCAGTGTTCACATTTGGCCATACTGAGTATCGGTGCCAAGTTTGGTCCAGACCCACCATTGTTTGAGGCCACAGTGCTGTCTGGATGTAGGTGGACTACAACTCTAAAACTCAAGGTCAATGCCCACCAAACCCTTCCAGTATTTTCTGTTGGTCACGAGAGATCTCTGTGCCAAGTTTTGTTTAATTCCATCGTTAGTGGAGTTCAGAATGCTCTTTGGTTGTAGGTGAACTATAAATCCCAGCAACTACAACTCCCAAATGACAAAATCAACCCCCCCCCCCCCACACACACACACACACACCCCAACCCCACCAGTATTCAAATTTGGATGTATTGGGTATTTTTGCCAAATTTGGTCCAGTCAGATATTTACATTATGATTCATAACAGCAGAAAAAATAGTTATGAAATAGCAACAAAAATAATGTTATGGTTGGGGATCACCACAACATGAGGGTCATGACGTTAGGAAGATTGAGAACCACTGTCCTAAAATTAGGAACAACTTCCTGACTTTAAGAACTATTCAACAGCATAACTAAACACCTTGGAATGTGATGGAGGCTCTTTCTTTGGCTGGATGGCCATCTGTCAGGGGTACTTTGATTGTGTTTTTCCTGCATTGCAGGGCGTTGGGCTGGATGGCCCGTGTGGTCTCTTCCAACTCTATATTCTATGATTCTGTTGATTAAATCTATATTGCTTTAAATCTGTAATTTAGAATATCAAAGTTTTCTTAGTGTATCTATGGCACAGCAGACACTGTTTTAGAAGAAGTATTCTCTTCTCTGCAAAAATAAAGGGGAAATACCTTTCTTAAGATAAGGTTTGAAGAATCTTAAAATTATCTTTTGAAGAATATTCACATTTGATAAGTAACTTCACTGGCTGTTAGGAATTGTGGGAGTTGAAGTCCAAAAAACCTGGAGGACCGAAGTCTGCCCATGCCTGTGTTATTCCATGCTTTTATGAACATTGAACAAGGAGGTGTATAACACTGCATATATAATGGTTAATTTCATTAACATATATAATTAATATACCTATATTAATGGCAGCCAGATAGTGCTGAGAAAACAGCCACTGATTGTCTTCAACTGGCACAACTACCAACCAGTCACACCATTGTCTTAATGGTAGCTCTCACCCTCTCAGACCCTCATACAATTTAGTTTTAATTTATTCCATTCCACCAACAGGATTTCAGTCTTAATTTGAATTTAAAACCTTTTTTTTTTTTTGGCTCAACAACATGATGGATACAACTTCAGTAAAGATGTTTGAATAAATCTGATTTGCATATTTTCCCAGGCTGAATTTGACATGCTTCATTGTTGATTTAGGAAAATGTAATGTTGTGAATTATTATTCTCAGACTTTTGCCTAGGTACATAGGCAATAAATCTAACTGTGTACTGTTTTCCAGGTTATTGCTGTAGTCATGGATATCTTTTCGGATCCTGACATCCTCTTGGACCTATATGACGCAGCAGTCAGGCGCCGAGTCCCTGTCTACATTATTCTCAGCAGAAAGCATCTTCTCTCATTCCTCATCATGGCTGAAAAAACCTGCCTTAATGTCCGTCACACAGAGGTGATTTGAAGGGCCTTATACTTTTCTTAACAAATTTGTCCCTACACAAGGGAAGTGTGCTTGGAACAAAAACAAATCTTTGAAAATTTGTGAGTGTTTGTGCACAGATAGGTTTAAATGTTGACTTCAGCACTAGGAGACCAGGATTTGAATTCCTGCTCAGCTATGGAACCCATGGGGTGATCTTGAGCATGTCCCAGTCTTTTATTCTAAGAGGAAGACAAAGGCAGATTCTCTCTGAACAGATCTTGCCAAGGAAGATTGCAAGTTAGAAATGGCTTGAAGACACACAAAAACAAAAAGTGTGAGAATAGGACAGAGGAGAACCAGGTTCACATCTCCATTAAGCTGAAGAGCTCACTGATATAACCTTGGACTAGTCATGGCTTATTAGATCTAACCCACCTTCTAGAGTGGTCACGAGAATAAAATAGAGCATGTTAGCTATATCATGAGACAGCATGACTCATTAGAAAAGATTATCCTGCTTGGATAAGCAGGAGGCAGTAAGAAAAGTGAACGACCACATTACAGGTGGATAGACTCAATCAAGGAAGTCACGACCTCCCTGAGTCAGGCTGGGCATGACAGCCTGACTCTCTCACTTATAAGGACTCCATAAGCCGAAGCCAACTTGATGGCAATTATCAAAATGGAGGAAAGTATGGATAAAAATGGAATGCATAAATAAAGGCTATCTGGGGTTTTATTTTTTATATTTGCTATGGTGGTGCTTTAAACAAATCCTGATACCAGCTGATAGAAAAGATTAAGATAAAAATGTTTTCCACACTAAAACTGCTTTTAGCACTCTACTTTTTTATACCACATGTTAAAAAATTGTTTTTGGTCATTTCGCTCTCTTGGGATATATTGGAATTTGGTTTGGGACAGTAACATATCCATCAAAAACATCAGCATGCACATCAAAATAATAATAATAATAATAATAATAATAATAATAATAATAATAACAACAACAATAATGTATCCTACTGGGATCTGCATGTATTATTCGCCAATACATCACACAGTCCTAGACACTTGGAAAGTGCCCAACGTGTGATCCAATACAACAGCCAACATAGTGATCTTGTTTGCTGTGTACTAATATTGTTATGTTTCCAATAATAATAATAATAATAATAATAATAATAATAATAACAACAACACGTCAAACTACTCTGGGACTTCCAAATTCAGATGGATAAAGTTTTGGAGCACAATACTCCTGACCTCATGATCATGGGAAAAAAACAAGTAAGGATCGTCGATGTTGCAATCCCAGGTGACAGCAGGATTGACGAGAAGCAACTGGAAAAGCTTACATGATATAAGGATTTAAAGATAGAACTGCAAAGACTCTGGCACAAGCCAGTAAAGATGGCCCCAGTGGTGATCGGCACACTGAATGCATTGCCTAAAAACCTTGGCCTGCACTTAAAAACAATTGGCACTGACAAAATTACCATCTGTCAGCTGCAAAAAGCCACCCTACTCAGATACATCACACAGTCTTTGACACGTGAGAAGTACCCAATGTGTGATCAAATACAAAAGCCAACATAGTGATCTTGCTTGATGTGTACCAATATTGTTATGTATCAAATAATAACAACAACAACTTTATTTTTGTATCTCGCCTCCATCTCCCCGAAGGGACTCGGGCAACTTACATATGACACAAAGTGCCTAAAATGACACATAAAATGAACACACAGTATAATACAAAAAAAGTTTAATAATGAACTATTGCACAAATCTTTTGCCTTGATAAACATGAGTTTATATATTTGATCTTTAGCAGAGAAACAGGGCAGGAAAACTTCTACAGTCTTTTCTAACTTTAACCCTTAATCCATCTTTGTAGAACCTGCGAGTTCGATTCATCAATGGCTGTACGTTCCGAAGCAGACACGAGAATAAAGAGGTCACAGGGATCATGAAGGAGAAATTTGTACTGGTTGATGGAGAAGTTGTGATCACTGGCAGCTACAGGTAAGGACAGCCTAACATGAAGCCTTTTGCATCAGACCAAACTCCTATTTAGTTCAGCTGTCTGGTTCTACTTTGGCTAACCAGCAATGTTTAATGGCCTTGCCATTCAACAGATACTGGGATACTTGAAAAAAGTAAAGAAACATGTTACTTCTTCATTAAAGTTCAAAATCCTCCTACAGTAGTCCATATTCCTTTCTTCTCTCTGCTCTCGTCTTATATGCATTTGCTTTGAGATAGGAACCTAATATTCTAAGGCAGTATTTACTTCCATCATATCTTGTATATGCAGTATAAAGATTAAAGCTATCTCCAATTCTAGCTCTACTTTCCCAATATTTCCAGTTTGCACAGACTACCTGCCAATGACAGCATTAGCATGCTCTGGTTTCTTTAGTCTGTTAGTCTTGTCCACTGTGTATTGTCCAAAAGAGACCAGACTTCGAAATCCTGGATCAGGCATGCTGTGTTGGAGCATTTCCCTTATTTTCTTTGGAAGTGATTGCACTTCCTTCTACTTCTTTCCTATACACTCTGCTCCCGATCTGCCTGCTTGCCCGCCCTCTATAATTACTGGTAGTTATGGCTGCCAGGTTCGATGGAAGAGTAGTCACCATCTTTTGTTGAAGCAAAATCTCTATGTCTTTAATGAGCTGCATGACAGGCAAAAATACAGGAAGCAATGCTTTTGACAGCACAATGCTGGGAAAGTCTGTCTCTCTGTCATTTCAGCCTGTTATACGCATGCTAGATGTGTTAAAGAGCTTCTGTGCGTGACGAAAAACAAAAAAAAAGTAAGAAAGAGATGTCAACCTATCCATGAGACTGGATTATGTGCTATTAATCATGCATTCTTCCGAGGAGTTATGATTTTGGGAAAAGAAATGACTATCACTAACAAAGCGTGAAGTCTCCTCATTACTTTTAAACATGCTCTACTATTTACTATTTGCTTTGGTGCAGACTTAGTTTAACTATTCATGTAACTAGAAAGTACTTGTATGGTTTAATTCTCTGCTGTCAGCAGGAAGAGCTTATGAAAGCCAATACTTTCCTCTGTCAACAGGCTTTTGAGGAAGGGTAAGGGGAGGCTCTGGGGAGGATTGGTGGGATTGGGGAGATATGCGTTTTAAAGACCATTTTAATGTATTTGCTGTATTTTAATTCTGTTTTACCACATTCTTTTTATTTAATTGTCTTTCAAAACTATTTAGTATGGATAGATGTTAGCCGCTTGAGTACCCATTGGGAGAAAGGTGAGATATAAATAAAGATTAATAATAATAATAATAATAAAACAGGATGATGTTGATATGTAACTTGGCAATGGGTTTAGGAACTTGATTTGTCCTATCTTCTGTTAAATTGGATCCTACATCCATTACTAAATTTGGTGGGGGGGGGGGGGGGGGGGGAGGATGGACTAGAACTCCATGCTGTCTAGAAGATCTTGGGAGTTGTAGTCTTAAAAAGCAACTCTTTAGAAGTTGGATTAAAATATTAAGAAGGTAACACATGGCAAAATCAAGTCAGATTAAAATATTAAGATAATGCATGGATGAAGTCAAAATTTAAATTCCTGGGTACTGTGGATACCACCAAATTTCCAGGAAGAAGATAGGACTCACCAGTTCAAGGTTTTAATATACAGCCTGCAGAAGGAATGCAATGTATAGCTAGAATCTTAAGGACAGTGGACGTCAGGGTGTGGAAATGAAGGAATTAGACAAATGCCAAGTCCAAGGTGTCAGGGACAGTGGGTAGTGATCTTTTCAAGTCCATTCCCAGACAGAGCAAATAAAGAATGGGTACCAAGATGTCTATTGGGATGTCAGAGCCAATCATATTTCCTTTGTGCAGGGTCTTGTCTGGCTGATGGTGAGGATCCCACTAGAGGGGGATCCCAGATGACAACGATCAGTTCAGTTGTTGGAAAATAATGTCAAAGTGATAATTATTCTTGTTGCACCTCTGGCCTGAGGTGTTGGAGGACATTCCTGAGTTGCTGGCACTGTCTGGGATCAAGCAAAGGTCAAGATAGTTCACGTTCATAAATCTATATTTAATAGATTTATAAGGATAAAGTAGAATAAAAATATAGTTCATAGTTAGGTAGAAAGAGGAGTGAAGCAAGGTTCTAGAGATGCCAAAGTGATAGCTCATTGGGCATGCATACAGGGGTTGGGAAAGTGGTTTCTCTTCCTTTTAGTTATTTAGCTCATGTGCATATGTGCATATTAGGATCAGCAAATGTGCTTATGATTGGAATAAAATAGGGATATAGAATAAAGCAGAGTTGGGGATAGAAGGTGTTAAGAAGCCCATGAAAGAAGATACATTGTGGTATCAAAAATAAATGTTTCCTTATGGTAAACTGGATGTTTTGTTGGCCCTAGCAAGACTTCCAGCTCATTCAGAGTAGCACAAATTAAAAAGCCTGGATGCCATAAGAGAAGTACAGAGTAGGAACCTGGAGGAAATAAAAGATCCCCGGATCCAACGAGGGAGGCTCTAGGTGGACTCAGCTCCATGAGATAGGTGCTCAAATTTAGCCAACACACATTTAGGGAGACCAGGCTCCCTCCAAATATGTGCTGATCCAGACCAGCGTAAATTAAAGAGCTGCATCAAAAAGTATAAAAATAGAAAAATGGACCTTCTGGGGAGAATGAGCTGTTACTGGTCCACTGCAGAGTTGGGAAGACTTCATGTGTGCAGAAGCTTTATCTTATTTTGGCTTCTTGCCCTTGGAAAACTATAAATCTTTTGGGTTGGAGGGCCCTATGTTTGATAACATAGGGAGGGAACATAAAGACCAGTTGAGTTTCTGCAGATATTAGTTCTTTTTGTTTTCATCCATAGCCTACTCTGCTACTCTGTATTCTTCTCAGTTTCCCTGAAGCTTGGTATTTTTTCCCTTTTTCATGCTTGGTGATGCCCTCACACTTTTATTGTTCTTCCTTCCTTCTGTGACATCACTGAAATGGTATCGGCCCCTGCTTTGTCTGGCAGCTTAAATTAGAAGTCCTCAGTGGACTCTGCCAATGAGCTTTTAGCATCCATTGTGATCTCACTGCAAAAGCAGACATCATGCAGAGGTTCTATGGAGCCAGAGGTTGGAGCTCATTTTATCTCCTGGGTGGACTTACAAGGTTGGAGATTGCCTGTCTGTAACACGCGCTACGAAGACACAAAAACCCAGAAACAAGAACTTCGGGAATCTGGTATACCAAATCAACTAGGCCCGTCCTACTGGAGCCCAAGAAAACTTGGTTCTCATTGACTTCTGGGAAGTCTATGTAGATCTGCCAAAAGATATGTTCTGAAGCTTTGTGGCAGTATCTCCCCCTGGAGGCTTGCCACATTCAAAGGCTTTTGAGTTCTGAATTCATTTTTAAGAGGACTTACATTTATACAACAGAAAAATCCAAGTTTTTTAAATGTTGTGTCTGCGAAGCTGTCTTCTTGAGACCACTGATTGAGCTGAAGGCCTTTCTCACTTCCATAGCCAACTGCCCTCTGTCTCTCCGAAGTACTTATAGCTGTAGGAGAAGAGACACCTACCAAATGTAAGAAAGCTACTTTTGCATTATTTAAGCTGGACCCAGCTACAGTAATAAAGAGTTATAGGAAACCCTAGTTCAGCAATTAAAATTTTCCTGTGAGGAAAGAGGAAATATAAATCTAATATTTTGGAAAGTAAAATTCTAATATTAAGATTTTTTTTCTGCATCAGGAAACTGAAACCATTTATTTTAATTGAGAACTGGACTTGAAAAAGGGGAAGCTGATCTAGTTCTGAAGCCCTGGACTCTATAATAATTCAAGTGAAAAGACTGTGGAAATTGGAAAACAAGTATCTCCTTTTCAAATAACAGCAATAATATATCATCTAGTGGAGAGGATTCTAAGTGGTTGCAAACACCTACATGCTCATACCATTCCTCTGTGATTTCAGAAGAAGAAAGAACAGGCAGTTTTCCTCCACCGTGTAATGACGCATCCTTTGTGCTTAGGTCTTGTATGTCTTCTAGTCTGTGTGTTGCCCTCTGTTTTTTCCAAGGACTGCTACTACTGTGATATCGCTCCCTCAGCCAAATGCCCCGCTACAAGGATGATTTGTGAAGAAGATCAAGACTGCTTTGTGGGTGAAGGAGTTGCCTTGGGGGTTCCAATGGTTCACAACAAGGGCTGCACCCGTGCCATCAACTGTGGGAAAGAGCAGCCTGTGGCCTACATGGGGATCACCTACAGCTTGGTTACCATCTGCTGTAATGGACCATTGTGCAACACAGCAGAGCCCATAACAAAACCTTCTCACTTTCTGCTGCTTGCCTTCATCTTCGCGCTTCTGCTGGGCTTCATTTGATTTAACAAGAGTAATAATTTTTTTTTAAAAAAAGAATAAAGTCTGTGGCATTTTTCCTTAAATGCTGAATCCTTGGGACTGTGGTGTGATGTTGTGTTCCACCCCACAAATCACAGCTTTTACCATCAGGTAACGTGGGAACAGGCAAACTCAAGTCATAGTCTGGTCCTCCAGCAATCGCCAGATGATCATTCCTCTTTCCCGTTGTTTAGTGGCTCCCATGCCTCCCTATACAGACAGTCCCTGAGTTACAAACATCCAACTTACAAACAACTCATAATTAAGAACAGGGGTGAGACAACAGAAAAGTGAGAGAAATTTGGCCCTAGGAAGGGAAATTCACTCCTGGAAGGGTGATCATGAAAAAGGGTATCTCAACTGAAGCTTTCTCATCAATCCTTGTTTCCACAACAAGTGAAATGTTTCAAAATCCAATTCTCACAGGGATGGAAAGTGAGGTGAAATCTTCTGAACAGGGGCACAGACAGTAGAACAAGCACCACAGGGGTGTTATCCCTTTCTATCCAAGGCTTAGATTAGATATAGATAGCTGGAGTGACACTTGAAAAATGTACAAACAAATTAAACCCGACGTACAAACAAATTAAACTTAAGAACAAACTTACAGAACCTATTTTGATCGTAACTTGGGGGCTGCCTAATATATCTATTCCAACTGCAAAAGATTTATTTTCTTTCTTCCAGCGCTTAGCTGCTGGCAATAAGAATATACTGCTATATTAAAATATTTAGTCCCACCATTTTCCTTTGGTTCTGCCTATTTATAGACTCTACCCCTGAGAGCATCCCCAAAATTGACTTGGACTTTTAGGCTAAGCTTTTTTTTCTGCACTCTTCACATAAACGGTAACTGCATGTATTTTGTTGCTTCCATATATTAATTCATTATTGAGGAGGTTGAAGAAGATGATAGTTAAATAATATTTCCATTAACACTCTTTAAGGATAAAAACAACCTAGGATACTCCAGCTAACAGCACAGTTCATCCTGAACATGCAGATCCCGTGTTTATGGCTAGGTCTTCTGCATCCATTAAGACATTACAGTTTGTTCCCTTGTGAAGGCTGCAGCAGATTGCTGTGTGGAATGATGCCACCTCTACTGTCTCCCAAGTTCAGGCACAATTTCTCCTTGTCGCTTTCGGATAGCAATGAATCATACAGCCCCACAATAATCCTAGAAAGACTTCCTAGTGTTTTGCCTGTAAGTTTCTTCACTTTTCCTGCCAGCTGGTCATTTACTACTTTGAATGCATATTGTTGTTTCGGTGTTTTAATCCAAACTCTGATGTTGGTGATCTCACATTTGGAAGAAAATTGCCAAAGTTACTCATTGCTTCTCACTAGAATGACACTAACCAAGAATTCCATTCCTACTATCTCTGATTCTTTACACTGAGTATGCCAGGGGGGAAACTACAACTTTCTTAAGCCAAGCAGGTGCTTTAACACTGAGATCAGATTTTTCTCCAATATACTCATGAGTGTTGTTTGTGATGGTGGTGGAAGTTTGAGTAACTGTTTTTTCAAACACATGGACATGTTAGATCATGGTTATGGCCCTTTAAGAGGGCTTTTGACTTAAGCAAATTATTTGTGTGTGTGTGTGTGTGTGTGTATTCACACATATTGTTTGCTTTCAAGGAGTTTCAACTTAAGTGACTCAAAGCTGAGCCTATCATGGGGTTTTCTTGGTGATATTTGTTTGGGGCAGGGGAGGTACTTTTGCTTTCCTCTGAGGCTAAAAGTGTGACTTGTCCACATTACCCAGTAGCTATTAACTTTTGTGGGCCATGGTTCTGACAATGATCTTTGGAGTTCCTTTAACTGTACAGTTCCATGTTTACCCAAACCTAAATTAACAATAACTGTTTAGAATAGTGGTTCTCAACCTGTGGTCCGTGGACCACCAGTGGTCCGCAAAAACTAAAATATGGTCCACGGCCTCATCGTTACTACACCATTGCAATGAGAACGACTGGTCTTGCAAAACCCTCTTATAGTGCCAAGGCTTATTAAATATGGTTTTCTGTGGGTGAACAGATGGCAGCTACTGGATAGCATATGTCCTGTATCAGAAACTAGAGCTGATGTGGTCTATCTAATGCAATTTTCTGAATCAGCACCCCAAATAACCAAACCAAATCTAAAGTTGACCAAAAGCTGATTCATAACTCTTTTGGTACTAATGTTGGAGAGTGGTCCCTGGTCAAAGTGGTCTCTGGTCAAAAAAAGGTTGGGAACCACTGGCTTAGAAAAAGGAAAATGTGGCTGAATAAAAGTATCCAAGCCAGCCTGCATAACTGTTCCAGTTTGCATTGATTACATAATCATAGATTTTAATTATTGTACATTTTCCTCTTGTGACACAATTTTATTTCTGAAACAAGAGTTCTCTCTAGAGGTATATGAAACAATTATTGACACATGTTGCAGATAGCGGGTACAGTGTAGGGAATATCCATCCCAATGCATGTGAATTTGAAAGTAGGAAAATGAGCAAGGAACTGTTCAGTGCCCACTCCCCATTACCTGTTCTTCCTAGAATCATAGAGTTGGAAGAGACCTCATGGGCCATCCAGTCCAACCCCCTGCCAAGAAGCAGGAAAATGCATTCCTTGCTTCTTTCTTTCAGAATGGCTGCTAGGATACAGTCCCATCTATTTGTGTGACATGTACTTTGGCTCTAGGAAAGCAGTCCATTTCACACTTTATATTAAATTGTAGTTTGTCCTAACCAAGATCAAAACACAAACTGTAATTTGAACAGCCAAATATCTTTAAATTGCATTAGCACTCCTTCCCTGTTGTTTTCTTCTTGTTTAGCATGTTATTTGAGTGATGTATCACTTTCTGGATAAATATAATTGGCTGTAACTATGGGCAGAAATTCCACTGATTTTGTTTTATTTGGGTTTGCTGTCCTTTGAGGAACAGTAGCAAACCAAAGTTTGCCAACTCTGACAAGCATGACAAACCATAATCAGGCTTTGTTAATAATGACTTGGAGATCTTTGTCAAATTTCAGTAAAGGAGAGAGCATAAAGTATTGCAATTGGAAAGTGAGAGTATTCAGAGTGTGTTGTGGAACTAGTATGCAGGTATACTGAACAGCTATCTTATAACTGGCAAAACAGCCTCTGGTTGTCCCATTCTTTTAAAAGTACACCTCTTTTTCTTCTTAGAAAATTTAATTGTGCCAAGGAAAGTTATGTGATTCTACAGAAACAAAGTAAGTCCTGTGAAGAACAGTTAAACGTGATGGATCTGTTCAGCCTCAGGCAGGAGAACTATTCTTTGTCTCTGAATATCTATTGTACACAAGATGAAATAGGGCTAGTTCTCTGTTGCTTAGGGTAGGGCTAGAATTGTGAGTGGAAATGCAGGGAAACAAATGTTAGTTAAGCATTAGGAAAAACTTCCTAATGATCAATGACATATATATTACCTTGAGAGGAAGCAGGATCTCCTCCTGGAAACATTTAAGCACAGGCTATCTGGCCACTGTCAGGAATAAAGTGGTTGCATGGTGCATTGATCCTGTCCTGATCAGTACATTGGACTGGATGACCTCCAAGCCATTTCATCTCTAAATATTTTACGATTTGGAACACAACATTAAAAAGAGGAGAAAATCCAGTGTCTGCCCTATTGTTTTATGGGTTATCTACTGATGCTTCCTCTCTTAACGAGAGCTTAGAAAAATTACTTCTTTGGACTCCAGCTCTCAAAGTCCCCAGTCAACATAGCCAGCGGTCATGCTGGCTCAGAGATTCTGAGAGTTGTCTAAATAAGTAATTTTTCAAGCCATTTTGTGACTCTGCTACAGAATGGACTGCAGTTTGGAATTGCACGGATGACCACTAAATCTGCCTTCTGGAGAAATACTGAAGATGTTGGAAGCTAGGTGGGAAAGAGATTCAATGACTCATAAAAGGTGCGACAAGTTAACAATGGATGGATTAACCATTAAACCAGATGGTTGGCTTAATTAATCCTCTGTCAGAAGATAGGTCTTGACAGATCACATTAACATTCCAGGTAACTCCACATCCTGTTTCCCACAGTGGAAGGCCAGATTTTCCTGGGAAGCCCACCAGCATGACATCAACTGGGACTGGGAGAAATGCTCTTTCTGAACTTAAAGATTCCATTTAGTTACTGGCCACACTAGCAAATGATTTCTGGGAGTCACTGCCAAAAAGCATTGATTCCAGACTCAATGTGAAGGAATTGTGTAGGTTTCCATATATTGTTTGATGAGATCTTATAGCAGTCTAGGTTAGCACAGCTAACAGTGAAGAATTCAACAACCCATAAGGAAGCACTTTTCTGACTTCTACATTGGAAGAGTTTGTAATGTTGGTCAAGGTTCCCTTCTTGTGTTTTAAAAAGAGATGGCAAATTAACTGTGCATTATTATTTTTTATCTTGAGCATATTACCACTCAGAAAGTAAATATAGAGTTCAGGTGTTAGGCAAGAGAGAGAAAAACAGCCATTGTTTCCACACTATACATAAAATCCGTTTTGCATGGCTTTTAAAGTCCTCCCAGATTGGTCTTCAAGAAGTGTGCGTTCTTGAGCATTCTTTGTTGTTGTTGTCTCCACATCAACTCATTTCATTGGTTTCTGTTTGTCTTTGTTTCTTGAAACTGTACAGATGCTTTCAAGTCTTTTTAAAAGCAAGCTGTAGGTGCTTTGCTATGGTGTCTTATGGTTTGTTTTCCTCTCTGAATTTTTAAAAGGCGTTATAGTGCATAAATGTCACTTCACTATAGCAATAGAACATAGAAAATTAACAGAGAGAAAGAAAAAGGGAATACCTTTTTGTTTTGATATGTCTCAGAATTTAAAAAAAAATCAAGGATAAGTGGGCTCAACCAGACTTCCTGAAAATGTCAATTATTTTATTGTACCTGCGCATTCACAGGTTTTGTTGTTCTGACATCTTTATTTCATGTATAATATAACATTCCAGAAACTGATTTGCTCCTATTTCTTCTCAAGTTTTCAAAATATTATTTAAGACTAAAAGTGCTTTAGCAAAACACACTAGTTCAGTATGAGGATCATTTGGTTTTAAATGCTAACTTTCCTCTTTTACTTGTTTGACCTCTGTTGAATCTATATCCTAACTGTGTTTACTTGTCTTTATTCTTTACTAGTTCTGCGACAGTTTTGTGTGTGTGTCAGGAGCAACTTGAGAAACTGCAAGTCACTTCTGGTGCTTCTGTTGTCAGAGAATTGGCTGTTTGCAAGGACGTTGCCCCGGGGACACCCGGATGTTTTGATGTTTTACCATCCTTATGGGAGGCTTCTCTCATGTCCCCGCATGGGGAGCTGGAGCTGACAGAGGGAGCTCATCCACGCTGTCACCAGACCTGCCAGTCTTCAGTCCTGCCGGTACAACAGTTTAACCCATTGCACCACCGGGGCTCCACATAATGAGTTGAAGAACACAAACATGGAGTTTGGCACACGACATATATCACATTGAGGAAGGGGGCAAGTTTGTGTAATGATGCTCTGGAAAGTAGGACACAATGGAGCAATGTATTCCAATGGCAGGAAAGAAGATTCCATCAAAACATTAGGAAGAACATCCTGTCAGTAAGAGCCGTTCAGCAGTGGAATACACTGCCTTGGAGCATGGTAGAGTCTTATCTATATAAATAAAAATGTAATGTTTGTTTGAGGGACTAACATAACTCAAAAACCACTGGACGAATTGACACCAAATTTGGACACAATGCACCTATCAGGCCAATGAGTGACCATCACTCATAATAAAAACACTGAAAAACACAGAAGACATTGCCCAAGAGACACACATGTGTTTTACCATCCTGTGTGGGAGGCTTCTCTCATGTCCTATGAGAAGCTGGAGCTGATGGACGGGAGTTCATTCCGCTCCCTGGATTCAAACCACCAACTTTTTGGTCAACAGTCCTGGTTGCACAAGGGTTTAACCCATTGTGCCACCAGGAGCTCCTCTGCGACAGTAAAACACATCGACAAGCACCAACTACCGTATTTTCATTATGGAATGAACTAGGTTAAAAAAAATCAAGCTAACTGGAAAATGGGGAATTTTTTTTAGTAGTATCAAGTGTTTACTGGAAATACATGAAAACCAATTAAATGTCATTGGGATATCAGAAATTAAAATCAGTTTGTACAGAAACAAAGCCTGGCATTTCCCAATACTTTGGCCATCTGGAGAGAGACAGGACCACCTGTGAAGCTGGTATGAGGGATTGCTACAAAATAATCCAGGACAACAGAAATGTTGTTTGGATTTTGAAATAAACAAAACCAGTAACTACAGTGATAAATATTATAACATTTGTTCCACCTGGAGGATCCTTATATCCTTCTTTGCCTCCTCTCACTTTTATTTTCTGTATTCCTTGTTGTAGTTCTTTCTGCAGAAGCGAGTAATAATGACTGGTTGTTTGGTATAAATATAGGAAGCATCTGTTTTGAAATTTTCCTTACTCAGCTCAAGGGTTTGCCTCTCAATCTTACAGGGTTGTTGTAGAGATCAAGTATGAAATTCTAGCTATATGGCCATCCTTAAAAGTCAGATAGGACACAAGTCATATGAATCAGTCCCTTCCAACTTAGTGCCTTGTAGATGTATTTTACTACAACTCCTAACATCCCAGAGACCATCATGATGGAATCTGATACTTCTCTTACAGTTAGTTTATGAGGAAAATGGTTGTCTTCATGCACTTCAACACATCTGAGATGGAATGAGAAAATGATGAATCATCTATATAAATAAAAATGTAATGTTTGTTTGTGGGATTAACATAACGCAAAAACTACTGGGTGAATTGACACCAAATTTGGACACAATGCACCTATCAGGCCAACGAGTGACCATCACTCATAAAAACACTGAAAAAGACAGCAGAAGGGACTTCAAAAGCCAAAAAATAGAAATTACATTACAACGCATGCACAAAACCACATATATAGACACGCAAACACATATACACAGACTGGGCCACAGCAATGGGTGGCAGAGGATGGCTAGTAGAATCATAGAATTGGAAAAGACCACATAGGCCATCCAGTCCAGCCCCCTGCCATGCAGGAAAAGCACACTCAAAGCACCTCCGACAGATGGCCATCCTGCCTCTATTTAAAAGCCTCCAAAGAAGGAGGCTTTTACTCTGAGGCAGTTCTTCTTAATGTTCAGGTGGAATCTTCTTTCCTGTAATTTGAACCCATTACTCTGAATGCTAGTCTCCAGGAAACAAGCCTGCTTCCTCTTCCTTATGACATCCTTTCAAATGTTTAAACATAGTGACTTGGCCCAAATCTGTTATGCATCCTATTCCCCATTCAAATAATTTGGTGCTCTATAAACTGATTCCTACCCTGGAATAGAAATTTCAGAATTTAAACCCCTCGACTATACAGAGAAATTTCCAGCATGCAGAAAACTATGGTAAACTTAAGGTTAAGGTAATGTTAAGAAGACTGTGTATTCCTAACAATTAGCATTTTCCCTCACCCGGATGAACAATGGGTTTTCCTTATAAATGCATACCTCAATAGTCAGACTTCCAGATGAAGCCCGTGTTTACCTTCTGATGACTAATCATCACAAAACACACTGGAATGTAAGACATCGAGAGGTGACAGCACATTATAGGGCAAATAAATATCTTTCACCACTTAAGGGAGAATAGTTTCTAAATATGTGCTTATTGTCTAGCTCGAGTGGTGAAGCAACTTTTAAAAGTGATCGTGCCACTTCCAACTGCATGGAGTACTGTAGTATTATTTACATTATGCGTCTTTCTCTAAGGGACTTTTAGGAGCCCCCAGTGCTGCAGTGGGTTAAATCCTTGTGCCGGCAGGACTGCTGACTGACAGGTCTGCAGTTCGAATCTGGGGAGAGCAGGCTGGGCTCCCTTTGTCAGCTCCAGCTCCCATGTGGGGACATGAGAGAATCCTCCCACAAGGATGGTTAAACATCAAACATCCGGGTGTCCCCTGGGCAACGTCCTTGCAGACGGCCAATTCTCTCACAACAGAAACTTGCATTTTCTCAAGTTGCTCCTAACACACACAAAAAGGAGGCTACACTCTCAAGTAACCATATCTTGCCTATTAGCACTGAACTATTTTCTTGCACACCAGATATAAGTGTGACCAACTACCCTATTACTCAGTATAACTCAGCTCATTGAACAGTCTTTAGTTCTTCTCAAAAACTGCAGTTCGTAGGATCTCAGAAATTTCAAACTTCAAGTTCCAGAATTTCTTGAAATACTTAATTTGAAAACTGCAATGGAAAGAGAGGTTTGTATTCCAGATATACCATTTGGCCACTTCCAGCTTGAGCTCTATATTCAAGTAAGCAGCCATTGAGTATTTATGGCAATTATGGTTTAGCTGTTATATTTTTGGAATATGGTGGTCCTTTTACCCTTATTTTCAGAAGAGGATGAAAAATTACAAGATTCAGGGTACATACAAAAGGAAGCAGTTTCCATTCAAGGGTTAGTGACTAAACTGTATGGAACACACAGATAAAATTCTGTGCCAGACTAAGGAAAAGTTCCTTATATGGACTACAGGTCCCAGAATCCCACAGGCATGATTAAAGCTAAAATATCCTGGAGTTAAAGGGAAAATATAGTATTTTCAAGCTGTAGAAGATATTAATGGATGATCTGCCTTTATCTGCCATTATCAAGCTTCTTATTTGATAGCTAATGGCCACACTGGAGAATTTGGGGACTTGTACTCCAAATAAGGGACTTTCTAAAGCTCTGATCATTTTGTTCTCCTCAACAGCTTCACATGGACTGATGCCCGCTTGAACCGCCAGCTTGTCACACGGCTTACAGGAGAAGTGACAGAAGCCTTTGATCGGGAATTTCGAACCTTGTATGCTGCCTCCTGTCCCTTGCCAACTCTGGAGGTGTCACCTCGGACTCAGCCCGCATCCACAACTCCATTGCCAACCCCCAATGGTCCAGATGCAGCTCCATTCATCAGTGTCCTGGATGGGGTGCAGATATCCAATCGTATTGCAGAACGGCGCTCCGTGGCCCCTCAACCTGTGGCCAAAAGTCGTGCTGGTGAGTGGGATCTTGTATTAGCCTCACCAGCTACAGCCGAAGATCCTATGCTACCTGTTGCATCTCCTGAGGTATCTATCCGAAACCGACTTGCAGCATGGCGTGGCAAGGATATATCTGGAGGAGGCCAGCAAGGCACTCCTGAAGGACACAACGCTCTAAGTGATATTCTTAGGAATGTACAACGGAATCGGCTCTCGGTAGCCAAAACCACAGGGGCCCGTCCAAGTAAGTCACTGTGGGACCTCAGCCGACTCTCCGGATCCAGCGCAACAGGATGGGGATGGAATGGGACAGACTCACCCGAGGATGCCAAGGTAAGCATTGCTCACCTTTTTCAACTCAACACAATGGTTCATTTTACAGACCCCAGCCTTCTTGTCCCCAGTATCCGCTGCTCCAGCTGTCAATTCCTTTTATTCCCAGTGAAGCTTCAGCTCCTGATCTCTGCAGAGCTTAGCAATTTTTCTTTCTCGACTACAGTTCCCAGGATCCCACAATCAGAATGGCCATTGGTTGATAAATTAAAAAGTTTGGTAAAGGCACACAATATCAGCCCATTCTCTACTAATTTTCTTCAATTTTTCCCCACTATAACTCTTGAATCACCCAGGCAGCATGTTGGTCAGTGATGTCTGGGGGGAAGAGTAATATTATTGCTTTTTATCTCTCTCTGCGAACAAGGGAAAGATAGTATAGTGAACTGGGCAGACGTTATTAGAACAGAGACCTGTGTTCAAATCTCTATAGCAGGGGTCCTCAAACTAAGGTCCGGGGGCCGAATACGGCCCTCTAAGGTCATTTACCTGGCCCTCACTCAGGGTCAACCTAAGTCTGAAACGACTTGAAAGCACAACAGCAACAACAACAATAATAATCCTATCTCATCAACCAAAAGCAGGCCCACACTTTAGTAGGTAAATGACTTGGAGCTGCTTTAGTAGGGGCATTGTGTGCTCCCTTTGGCTGGCTCCGATTAGTAGCCTGGTTGCCAATCTTTACACCAATTACAGTTTCTGAGCCATCTTCAAAGGCAGCCCCATGTAGAGTGCATTACAGCAATCCAATCTTGATGTAACTAAGGCATGGACCACTGTGGCTAAGTCTGGCTTCTCAAGGTATGGTCGCAGCTGGCGCACAAGCTTTAACTGTGCAAAGGACCTCCTGAGTCTTCAGTCCTAGCCATAACTGAGGTTATGATAAAAACTGGTGTGATAAAACACCAGTGTTCTTCCAGATTCAGTCTTTGAAATAAGAAAAAAATGAAATAATTAGAAAACTAGATATCCTAAAAGTGATGAGAAAGCTAGAGTGATCACCAAGCAACTGCAGTTTTAAAATCTTTTTTTTAGCAGGAGCCAATTCTTCTCTGTTGAAGGCAGAGTTGACCCAGCGATGGTTCTCCAGATGTTATTAGATTGCAAGTGCTATCATTATTATTATAATTAACCATACAGTTTCACTTCCTGTAAAACAATATTTTTGTTATGTGCCTTCAAGCGGACTCCAACTTAGAGCAACCCTTTCATTGGGTTTTACCAGTAATGGAGATTTGTCATTGTCTTCATCAGAGATCAAGAGAATATGACTTGCCAAGAATCACCTAGTGTGTTGCCAGGGGCGAGCAGGAATTCAAACCCTAATTTTCTAAAAACCTTGATAAATATAGCAAGCTTGTTTACTACCTCATACACTTTTTTAAAAAACAAAATAATGCAGATTTCTTAGAATTTAGCCTCTAACTCAGAAAGAGCATATCTACTGTAGTTTTTCCTAGAAATATCCCAGTCTATGTCTGAAGGAAGCACACTTTGCACCTGACAGCAGATTAATGCTTTGGTTGGGGGCTCTAGTGGGACAGTATTTCCTTGCATCTCTATGATATTTTTTATTGTTGGTCATTTATGAAGTGGGGGAAATGACAGACAGAAAAAAACACCATAGGAAAACCTTGTGTCTCTGCAAGTTTGGCACTTGAATCTGACAGCTGGTGTGCTTACTCATAAGTAAGGACTCCAGTCTGCAGTATGAAAAGGCAAGCTGGCATGCCTACTCAAAAGCAGACTGACTTGAGGAAATGCCTGTGTCTCACATTAGACTAAAGTTTTTATTCGCTTGTAAACCGAACAGGTCTCAAGATAGTCGCTGAATCTGATGTGCAAGCCGTGAACCCAGGAGTAGTTTCAAACAAGTCTCAATTAATCCTTGCTGTCACATATTTTCAACTGCTTCTAAAATGCCTCAGAACTTCTCTTTTCTCCCACTTTTCTGTTTCATCCTTTGCTTACTTCAGTTGCTAGAGCAGTGGTTCTCAACCTGGGGTCCCCAGATGTTTTTGGCCGACAACTCCCAGAAATTCCAGCCAGTTTACCAGCTGTTAGGATTTCTGGGAGTTGAAGGCCAAAAACATCTGGGGACCCCAAGTTGAGAACCACTATGCTAGAGACTAAGACCCCTTCCACACTGCCCCTATATTCCAGGATCCGCTTGTAGATTATCTGCTTATCCCAGATAATCTGGCAGATGAGATTCATATAATCTAGTTTAAATCAGATAATCTGGGATCAGATCCTGGGATATAGGGGCAGTGTGGAAGAAGCCTGAGTTCCACATGCAAAAGTAGTAGTTGCCGATTTAGAAAAGGTAAAAGGACAGGAACAGACAGATTTCTACCCTTAGACCAGTGTTTCTCAACCTTCCTAATGCTGCAACCCCTTAATACAGTTCCTCATGTTGTGGTAACCCCCAACCATAAAATTATTTTCATTGCTACTTCATGACTGTAATTATGCTACTGTTATGAATTGTAAATATCTGATATGCAGGATGTATTTTCATCCACTGGACCAAATTTGGCACAAATACCCGATACACCCACATTTGAATACTGGTGGGGTAGGGGAGTTGTAGTTGCTGGGAATTATAGTTCACCTACAATCAAAGAGCATTCTGAACTCCACCAATGATTGAATTGAACCAAACTTGACACACAGAACTCCCATGAACAACAAAATATACTGGAAGGTTTGGTGGGCATTGACCTTGAGTTTTGGAGTTGTAGTTCACCTACATCTAGACAACACTGTGGACTAGATGTAGGTGGATCTGTGATGGATCTGGAACAAACTTGGCATCAATACTCAATCTGCCCAAATGTGAACACTGGGGTATTTGGGGGAAAATAGACCTTGACATTTTGGAGTTGGAGTTGCTGGGTTTTATAGTTAACCTACAATCAAAGAGCATTCTGAACCCTACCAATAATGGCCAAACTTCCCACACAGAACCCCTATGACCAATAGAAAATACTATGTTTTCTGATTATCTGACACCCCCCTCGCAACCCCTCCCAGGGGTCCTGACCCCCAGGTTGAGAAATGCTGCCTTAGACTAAGCCAAAACCAAACTGCTGCAGCTTTTCCTAGCCTGTGAGTTTCTCATTATTGACTTTTGCCATAATTTCCACACCCTCGTTTTGCTTGGCCATGTGTGTCCTGATTTTCATCTGTAAAATGTTGGGGGATATGAACCATGACATGTTTTAAAAGTCCCATAGTATTGATCTTTAAATATTTATTATTATAACAGTTAGGAAAACCTGAGATTTTGTTTTAAAACATAGTACTTACCGGCCCTTCAAAATCTGGGTCACTAAACTTTAGCTTAGCTTATGCACCAATCCAATGCTGGGTAGCCCACAGCCTTTCAAAACTGGGACAAAAGCCAATGCAACGCAAGGCAGCAATGAAGTTAGCCACGGCCCAAGTCCACTACAACTTGTGGGCTGCTTTGCTTCAAGGGAATGTGGGCCTCATTTCCCCAGCTTCCTTATCCTTAGGACGTTAAACTGCTCCTTTCCCATAGGCAGTTTTTATGACACCTTTGGACTCATTTCCAAACCCAGCCCTTGGTCAAGTGATACCCTTCCATTAGCAGAAGGATGTGTGGTTGTTCCTGCTACAGCTGCCATGCCCAGTTCCAGTTCCTTCTCTAAATCAGCTTCTACTGTGCGAAGCTAACAAAAAGAGAGGGGCATGTGGTAAAGAGAAGCAGTTGGTGGGAGGGAAAGCTAACCCTCTCCTACGCAACCCCCCTGCTAGTCTTTTCTTTCTGTTATTTTGCCAGCTGTGTTCAAAAACCAAAAATAAATTCAACTGGGAGGAGAGGAATTGCTGAGGGAAGAAACGGCTTCTGGGGGGAAGGGTTCAGCTCCTTCTTCAGCAGTCCCCCTACTCCATTCTCTCCCATCCCAGGTTTGACTTACTTGGAAAGCATGTGATTGTTGTGAGGCATGCTACTGTTCCATTCTCATTTCTTTCCTGCAGAAAGCACTCTTCTCCAACATCCCACACCCCTGCTTTCCTCTTTCTCTCTCATACACACTGCTCAATTTATAGTCACCATGAAAAGAAAGGTGCACAAGACACTTTCCTCCGAGGTATTTGATTTCCTCCCCCATGCTCCTTTCCGTAAGACAAACACATTTGGTTTTCAATGCGTTCCCCTTTGAGTTGTGCCTTAAACTCTGACTCCTTTGGGAATTGAATTTTCTGTAGTAATTTAGGTTTCCATAGGAACACAAATTTCAATATTTTCTAATCCTATTTGGTACAGGAGGTCACATTTAACATTCCAATGCATTCACACCCTGAAAGGAGCAGCAATTTTAGTTGGACACTACTGACAGACTACAGCCAAGGCTTTTCCTAAGAGTTCTGAATGTTTTCAGAACAGGAAAAACACACATTTTGCCATATACTTCTAATATTGTACTCAATATTTAAATTCATACAGAAACCGAAATACTGACATTGATTTCTTATGGATTTTGGTAACTGTGAGAACCAAATTCTCTTCATTTCAGCCCCAAATAAAAACTCTCAGGGTTAGAAAGACATACATTTTCATTTCGCAAGGTCAAGGCTCCCTAGTGAGACAACATTTGAATAGTGTCTTCTCAAAGTCCAGCTTCTTTTCTGCCAGTTTCAATAGTACCAACCTATTTTGGCCTGTTGTGCTGCACAGACAGACCACTTGTCAATGGGTTTACAGTTCCTAAGAAAAGGTAGTCCACTGAAAAAAGACTGCAACCTTATGTTGCATATGTTTCTCCCTACCCTAAGAATGAGGAACCTGTGGCCTCTCAGATGTTTCTAGATGCCAAATCCCATAACTGAGGCCACTGACTACTCTATGTGGGGTTGACAGGTGTTTCATTCTGCCAATATCTAGAAGGCCACTAGAATTCAAAGGTATGTTAATATGTGAAGAGATCATCAATGTATCTTGGGAGAGGAGATATTTCTAGGTATAGGAGGTAAGGAAGTGTCCTAGGCCAAGCATGAAGATGCTGGCATATTGTGGTATCACGTGTGTACCCATGACAGTACCATTACAAGGATATGTGTTAGTACCAAAAAATAAAGTAGTTGTGTATGTGAGAATGAAGTGGCAGACCTTGGTGTTATGACTCCACCTGGAATGATAATCCTGACAGTTTCCAGTTGGCCATTCATAGTCTGCTCATAAAGGTCAATTCCTAGGGACTAGTTCACTCCATGTATCTCAGAAGGTAGACTAATAACCACTTCATCACATTGAAGCAAGGAAGAGTAGAGCTCAATCTTACTCACTTTTTAAATGAAATGGATGATTTCCCTACCTTCATCGCACTGTTAAATTTATCTGTGGTACTCCGTGGAACTTAGCCTTCTTTCAGTAGATCTACTATCACACTTTAATCACTAGACACCGCCCACCATCCCTCCCTCACTTCTTTGAGAGAGAGAAACCTCTTCTCTTTGAAATGTCAGCTGTTATGTGTCTTCAATTCCAGAAGCAAGGAAGCAGGGAGGGAGGGAAAAAGCAGCATCCCCCCCCCCCCCCCGCTTTCTCTTGGCTGCCCCATAGTGAAGGGTGTGGACCATGGGAAACTATGACTCCCAGGACTGTGCAGCATGGAGAGGTGGCATAATAATAGTAATCCTTCTCCCCTGACTTTCCCAAGCAAAACAAGGCACAGACATATCACAGAGGGAATGGAAGAAAAAGAAAGGACCTGGAAAAGCTATTTTTAAAAATGATTTTATTCTGGCAAAGTGAAAACTCGGTGAGCAAATGGTAATGCTTTTCCTAACAAGGGTACTTTTGGCTCCTCCCACAATTTCCCCTCCCACAAATTGGGGAAACATTTCATTGTAAACCTGGGAGCAACTAATGCCATCACATTACAGAAACAGCCAAACAACTGGATGATTTCAAAAAATACAGTTCCCCACCACCTTATGAAACGTTTTAAAAGAATGCTGGCCCCCACACTTAAAATACGCAAAGAATGCTCTATTCTACAATTGAAGCCAAACTAATGTGATGACAAGAGTGGCTGTCCGGATTTTAAGTGTAGCACTCAGTGGAATTTAGTAAATGTGATGAAGTCTGCAAATGGTTATGCTACAACTTCTTTCTCTCCATTAGTCTCAAGATCCCTTTAGAAAGCCACTAGCTACTCATTTTGCACTGGCCTCATTTTGTTTGGCATAAAGGCTGCTACCTCTGTTTCTCTCTGCTGGTCACATCTTCTGTAGGCCAGAGAAGGCAGAATGCAGCTATGTCAGAGGGCAGGTTTGATATAATAATAATAAAACTTTATTTATATACCACTCTATCTCCCCGGGGGGGACTCAGACCAGTTTCCAAGGAACATTATCAATACATACAGAATAAACAACATAACAGTAAGATTAACAAAACAATATAAGCATAAAATTGTTGCCATAACACATATATATTAAAAGTAATCCTGCCTGTTCAAGGCAATTTAAAAGGCCTTAGACTGAGATTAGTGCAAGCTCAAAAATTCTAAGGGCCCCGGGAATTAAGTGCAGTGCTATAGCAGGGTCTATGGCTGTTTATTTCCGGGGTCTATTAAAGGAAGTGACCTGGGTAATTGGTAGGAAGAATAAGGCCATATTCAACAATGTCTAGGGCTGAGCTACAACTAGTCATTCTCAAAGGCTTGTTGAAACCACCAGGTCTGCAAGTTCTTACAAAGGGAGGGGAGGGATGGGGCCTGTCTAATTTCCCTGTGGAGGGCGTCCCAGAGGCGGGGAGCCACCACTGAAAAGGCCCTCTCTCTCGTCCCCACCAAACGTACTTGTGACAGTGGTGGGAGCGAAAGGGGGCCTTCCCGGAAGATCTTAGAGAAGGAGATGCTATTTCGGAGATAGGCGGGGCCTGAACCAGGAAAACGGACCAAATGCAAAGGGCTCAATCCCCTGAGAATTTTTCTCATATGAAATTTACTAAAATAAATGGGATGGAATGGAGTGTCATTAATTTTCTACCTCAGGTTGGTAGTAGCTAATCCTTGGCTCCTGTACACCTGTGTTGTCACAGGGCAACCAGTTGTCCCTGGCTACAAAACAGGGTTAGAGCAGAGGCAACAGGCCTAAGAGACACAGAATAGTTAGATTTTCCTCACCAATAACCCTGGAGATTTCTGACAAACAGAAGAGGTAGGGAAGGCTTCCTTTCTTAGCTTCCCACCTTGGACCAACAGCAACAGACATCACCTTAGGACAATATTGATAAAGGCAACACCCATGCTGGGCAGGAAGAACTCCAGAGCAACAAGCCTTGGGCTAGGACAATCCCTTCTACTTATCAGATAGAATTGCCACCTATGTGGCAGGCCGCCACCTGATAAGTGTCACCCTTCCTGTCTCTCAGTGCCAGGAGCACAGCTGTTAACGCGTACAAGGGAAATGAGCAAGCTGGAGGCAATCCTACTTGGAAGCAGCTTCTCCAGTTAAATTTCACACTCTTTGGCTTTTCTTTCTTATCCTCCCTTATTACCGTTCTTTCACAATTTTCATTTGCTGCAGTTTCTAAAGCAAACCATTTTAATCTGCTTTCAGGGGAGGGGAAGTAGAGGAATCCAAAGAAACTCGTGGAACCTCAAAGACTAACAAATGTAATGTAGCTTCAGGCTTTATAGACTATGGGTCCCATTTATTACTTAGACATGAAGTATAATCCAGAATTACAATATGTGCTTGTATCTCAACAGAAACACACACAGGGAGTATGTAAGACTGGGTAAGAGTAAGATCAGAGGGGAGCTAAAGGAAGAAAGGGCCGGCCATAACAATTACACTATTACTAAATGATCAGTATTAAAAACATCAGTATTATAATGGTTACTGTAAATATTGTCTGCATTTAATTTCCCTCTGACCTCACTGTGTACAGTCCCACCCATAGTCATAGAATCCTAGAGTTGGAAAAGACCTTATAGGCCATCCAGTCGAACCCCCTGCCCTGAAGCAGGAAAATTACATTCAAAGCACCCCCAACAGATGGCCATCCAGCCTCTGCTTAAAAGTCTCCAAAGGAACCTCCACCACACTCCGGGGCAGAACAGCTCTCACAGTTAGGAAGTTCTTTCTAATATTCAGGTGGAATCTCCTTTCCTGTAGTTTGAAGCCATTACTCCGTGTCCTAGTCTCCAGGGCCACAGAAAACAAGCTTGCTCCTCCTTCCTATGACTTCCCCTCACACATTTATACATGGCTAGAATGTCTCCTCAGCTTTGTCTTCTGCAGGCTAAACCTGCCCAGCTCTTTTAAGCCGTTCCTCACAGGGCTTCTTCTCCAGAATCGTGATCATTTTAGTCACCCTCCTCTGGACACTTTCCAACTTAGAGTCAACATCTCCCTTAAATTGCAGTGCCCAGAATTGGAAACAGTATTCCAGGTGTGGTCTGACCAAGGCAGAATAGAAGGGTAGCATAACTTCACTGGATCTAGACACAATGCTCCTATTTATGCAGGCCAAAATTACATTGGCTCTTTTAGCTGCTACTTCACATTGTTGGCTCATGTTTATACACCACTGAAATCCTGGAAATAAAATATTTTAGGCCCCATTTCTCTTGAAGACTGGGTTGGGAAAGTAAATTGCTTTGTGACACAACTTAATTATATACCTAAACCATATAATTTGTTTGTTTTGTTTTTAAACCTTCTGCAGAAGTGGGGCTACCAGGACACACCAGCAAAGGAGCTGATGAAACAACGGGGGACTGGCCATACTCCAGATGAGTCGAGGACACCCATCTACCTAGCACATGGACGCATGACTCCTTCCCCTGGCTACCAAGCATTAGGAAGACTACAAGGACAGCTGTACCATCACACGGCTGGTACAGGCCTACCTCGGGCTTGGGTGCATTCAGGGAAACCTCAATATGGGCATCAGATACGGTTCTGAAATCACTTTGAAGCTGTGAAGTGATTTGGGGGGGGCAGGGAGAGATAACAGGAACGTAACCTTGAAAAGTCTGGAAATTATTCTGCAACAGATTATTCTGCAACTGGAACTGATATTCCTCTTAGAGCTGAAAATGTATATAGGAAATGATAACAAGAGTGGTTTTAGTATATTATGCTATAAATTGGGAGATGTTACTGCCAAGTGACTCCCCCCCCCCCCCCCCCCACCAATGAACTTCAAAATGCCGTTATGAGTTGAAACCGTTATATACTGTGACCAACCTGTGTTCATGAGATTAGTTGCAGCAGCAAACGAAGGAACAAATTTCTCCTAATGCAGCTACATTAGGCTTGCCTTGGTTTGCATAGACTGAACTGGAAACAAGCAGCAAGTTGGGAAAGCTATACTGATGAGCTGGCTCAAGGGGACCAGGGTACAGCTAATAAGGCACTGAGAGGCAATATAAAGCATTACGGCAAAAGAAAAATGGTATGCTAGTTTAATTCTATCTCAACAATGGTAAAAGAGAAGTCATTACCGCGGGATCTATGACGTGAATACAAATACAATATCTTTCCTAGGTTATAGCTCATCATTACATCCATTATCAAAATACTGTATTGAAGAGACACTGGAATAAGGCAGCTGCAGGAAATGCTTTGACATTTAAGAGGCCAGAAAAATTACAGTACACTGAGCACTATTGGTTTCTAAGGGGCAGGATTTAGAAGGGAAAACTGTTTAAAGGGAGTTAGAAATTTGTGAATCTGAGTGAGTACACATGTAAAGTAAAGGTTTCCCCTTGACATTAAGTCTAGTTGGGTCCAACTCTGGGGGGTGGTGCTTATCCCCATTTCTAAGCTGAAGAGCCAGCGTTGTCCATAGACGCCTCCAAGATCATGACTGGATGGAGCACTGTTACCTTCCAACTGGAGCGGTACCTATTGATCTACTCACATCTGCATGTTTTTGAACTGCTAGGTTGGCAGAAGCTGGGGCTAACAGCAGGAGCTCACCTGCCTTTCAGTCAGCGAGTTCAGCAGCTCAGCAGTTTAACCCGTTGCACCACCGGGGTCTCCACATGCGCACACACCTAATCCAGAAAAATTGATAAAGAACACTAACACAATGTGTCTCTTACAAAATGGGAGGGGCGTATCAGCTCCTTGTGGAATTACCTCCAAAATCTAAAGGACCCAGATGTTCCAAAACAGTTTTCAAGAACACATCAAGCCATTGCTTCTTTGCCCAGAATAGGAATCAATGCAGTATTCAATTGAGACTCATTCAATTATTCTGCGGTCTCAATCTTGAAACTGATAGTTGGCATACAGATTGTATTGCAGCAATATCGACTCAACCTATTTTTTCTTGCTCTGTCTTCCCCTGACATTATCCGCCCAAGGTTCTCCAGAGATCTCAAAAGTCCACTTACTATTTGGGGTTGTCCTAGTAAAATGTTATTGCTCAACCCTGAATTTTGGAGGAGTTTTGTTTTCCCCCCTATGAATCACCACGTTTTCCTTTCCTCTCTGTGTTCACTGAATCAAGAGGAAGCGGTTGTAATTGGCACAAGTTAAGTTATCAGATTTATAATGAACACAGAATAGTAATGATAATGCCAGGAAGTAATGCTGTTTTAATCATTAAAGGACATGCATCATGTGAAATCAACAAAGGAAGCAAGAAGTGTATGTAACAAGACTGTGAAACTATAATATAGGCCCTGCCTGAATCCACAAAGAACTTCATGTGTATTTGAGTCCAGAATACATTAAAAAAGTAAAAGTGAGAAGGCCCAGATAATTAAGTAGAAGAAATACCCAGTGAATGACCCTGAGAGTCTGGTCAAAGGCTCTAGCATCCTCAAGGGAATTGGAAAATCACTGACCAGACACCTTGACAAATAAAACGCCAAACACTTATGCATCACAGAGCAATTTTTCAGCATGGATAAGAAGAGGTAGCATTACGGTTGCTAGGAGCTAGACTCAAGAGGTCTCCTCTGTCTTGGATTGTTGCAAAGGGAACATTCCAGCAAGAGGCGGCATCTCCTATCATTTCTAAATTGGGGTGGGCTAATTTTAAGCTACATATTCTCTTTTTTAAAAAAAACTAGAACCTGAGGCCCACCAAGTGCAGAACTGGCTCAAGGTAGGTCAGCATATAATGAGAATTCATTCAGAACTGAATACTGTTGAGCACAGTATTAACTGCAGATTTTTTTTTTAGTACCAAGCTACCTCTTCTATTCTTTTTTTCCAAAGCCATTCCTGGCTTTTCCCTTACTGGAGGGTTAGGCAATTAGTGCTTCTCCAGATATGGCTGGACTACAGGTCCGTGAAACACCATTTTTTAAAAATTGCCTCTGACGTGAATGTAATGCTTTTGACAACAAGGTTTTACTCATTCAAACTATGACTTATTCTTTATGCAAGGAAGCAGTGGGTGAATTAGGGCCCTCTAAAAGTTGTTGGATGGCAGCTCCCATCATTTGTGATTGCTCATCATGCTAGCTGGACCTGATGGGAGGTGCACTAACTAACAACATCTGGAAGACTGCAGGATCCCTAACTGAGTCCTAAGCTTGTTCCATTTCAGAGTTCTAACATATGTGGGTGGATAGTAATCTTTGTGTTGTAAATAAACAATAGGGAATTAGAACCTTCTTGCAGAACTACTGCAAATCTTATGAAGGTTCTGATCTAATATCTGCTCCTCAGCCTTTCCCCAGCATTTAAAGGCACTGCAATCCTTTCAGGACCAGGTTCTCGCATCCTGTTAGATGCCGTAGTATATCTACCAAAGTTGTAAGGAGCTGATCACCACCTAGACTCCAATAACAATTTTTTTTTGTAACTAAGTGGGCAACTCTAATTGTATCTTCAAGGAGGAAAAGGCATCTGAACAGCAACAGAAGATGATGATTAGGATTCCAGACGTTTTCTCTGAAATGAATGCATCCATTACAAGGAAATCATTCCCTCAGCATTCACAACAGGATACCAGTAACTGAGGGAAATGAGACACCCCCAGTTATTGTATATATTGTAAGGAGTGTGCACAATTCAGACCAGAATTATACAGTTCTCACACAGGTACCTCTGAATTGTCTAGTGGCAATGACAATGTCAATGGTGAGGTGCCATTATCCTTCTAGCGATGTCCAAAGAGTCCTGAAGAAAATCCACAGGCCTGGTCCCAAGTCACATTTGCAAAGCAGTGGTTAATATTTTTAAAAGGAAATGCTAGAATTGTGTCGGCTTCTACAATTCCTTCACTCTCATCAAAGAAATGGTTAGCATGCTCCAGTGCTGAGAATCCATATGTAAAGCTCTTTTTAAATACTCTCTTGCATTTGCTATTAACACCAGGCGTGCTAGATTATTAACATGCCAAATAAATCCTTTGTGCATTGGAAAAGGGGGGGGGGGGGGTCAAACATACAAAAATATGGATATTGTGCCCTCTAGAGGCTGGATTCCTAAAGGCACCCATTTTCTGCAGCATCACCTCCCAAGTTTGAATGAATCAGAACAACCTACCCAGCACCTACCCAAAGTGATCTTGTTTTGGAAGGGCTTGTCTGGACTAAGCCAACTAAGTGCAAAGCTGACTGGCCCCTGCAAGGCTGGAACTGACCTTTTTCACAACCTTCAGGAATCTTACAATAGTGAAACAAAACCTGTGGTCCTTCAGTGCCTTTGTTCCTTCCTTCCTAGGTCTGTCACAGTAAACAGGAAGTAGCTGTAAAAGTGGAAGGAAGATAATGTTTAGCTCTCTCGGAGGCACAAGGTGGGATGCCTAGCTAGAAGAGATCATGGACCAATCTCAAGAGGAGACAAAGACAAGATGGGAAAGCCACACTCACCTGGGTCCAACTGCACAAGCCACCGAGTTCCCTTACTCGAGTGCTTAGTCCTGATCCCAGGCATGGCCTGTAAGAACCCGAGGCTGTCTCTGTAGCCATATTCCATGCTGATCTTGCACAGCCTGACCTTATGCTCCTTCCACAACATCGTCTCCAGCTTTTCCAACCGCAAACCCCAAGGAAACAGTCCCAAAGTGCTTCTTAAGAGAGAAATCACATCCAAATCACCTGGAAAGCAATAAAGGGTCATCAGCAACAAAAAGCAGGTTGTTGAAGGCTTCCATGGCCAGAATCACTGGGTTGCTGTGAATTTTCCAGGTTGGTTCATCAGGTGCTCTGCTATGGCTGACTTCTCAGGTTGAATTAGAGGCACCTAGAGCAAAAGTGTTCTTACCTTACATTAAGGGAACCACTGAGCGCATACGGAAGCTGATGAAGAAACACAACCTACAAACTATCTACAGACCCACTAAGAAAATCCAACAAATGTTACGTTGAGCAAAGGACAAGAGGGATCCGCTCACTTCTGCAGGAGTCTACCGTATACCATGCAGCCGTGGACAAGTCTACATAGAGATCACCAAACGCAGCAGTGCCCAAACACAAGTCAAGGAACATGAAAGGCACTGCAGACTAATTCAACCTGAGAAGTTAGCCATAGCAGAGCACTTGATAAACCAACCTGGACACAGCATATTATCTGAATACACAGAAATGCTGGACCACTCTTTAACAACTACCATGTCAGACTATACAGAGAAGGCACTGAAATCCACAAGCATGGGGCAATTTCAGCAGAAAGGAGGAAACCATGAAAATGAACAAAATCTGGCTACCAGTTTTTAAAAAAATAAGAAATCCTCTAAAATCGGGACAGTAAATAAAGAGCAACGCTTAAAAAGCAAAGGAATTCCAGACAAGAATCAATCAGAGCTAGCTAACATCTCCAAACAAAGGATCTCCCAGGTAGCAATCAGCCAGGTTTTGAAGCTGCAAGGCCTTTAAATGTTAATCAAGCTGGCAAATTGCAACATTCACACTTGCCTCAAGCAGACAAGAATTCTGCTTGAGGCAAGATATATAAACCCCACTTGCCTGGTTTCCAACACACCTCACAACCTCTGAGGATGCCTGCCATAGATGTGGACAAAACGTCAGGAGAGAATGCTTCTGAAAAATGGCCATACAGCCTGGAAAACTCACAGCAACCCAAAAAATAGGTTGATTGGAAATGACCTGGCTAACCCTTATTCTGTGTTCATGCCAGGCTTCATAGCTAATATTTCAACTACTGAGTTGCACTTGTTTCCCATCTTTCCTTCACTGAGCTTCAAGTGTCATACATGGA